TTTTCTTTTTATATAGTAAATAGAAAAAAAAAATTGACCACGACTACATACAGATACATTTAAACGTATTTATGCTCTGGTTCTTTGAGATATAATCAAGATGAGGCCTTTACAGAAACGCCAGCTAGCTGTGCTTTGCGGGGAAAAAATTTCTCTTGTGGCTGCAAAATCTATTCTTTAACACGTTCACGTTGGGGTGACCCACCGGTGGGTCACGCTAAATTGTCTCATCTTGGCAGCGCATCGGAGTAAAAACTGGTAACAATAAATTTCATATTTTAGTTTTTCTTTCCGGGAATAATAAAAATCCATAACTACCAATTGTTTTTAATGGATGCAATTTTTATTTTGAATCGCTTCTTCGCCTTGATAAATTTCCTAACAGTGAATTGTTATTGTTGAGAATAGATTAACTCCTCCCGAATATTATCTAATATTGAAATAGTTCTTCTACCAGTATTTTCTCTTTTTCCGTACCAGTATTTCCACTTTTCCCGGCGTGAACGTGTTAAATTTTAACAAGATTACCACGGACGGCTATTCATGTAAAAAGTGGTGAATAATAAAATTAAGAATTTTAATAAAGGATAATGAAATTAACAAACTTTTCTAACATATTTTTTTGTTTACAATCAGAAGTGATTGCAATGAATTGTTTTGCTCTAAGTATGAATCACTTGAAATGCTAATAATAAATAAATAAAATTGAAATTAGTTTCTACCACCTTTAACAATTATAATCATCCCTGGTATAATAAATTGAAAGTATAACTTAGTTTAGAAAATCAGATGAAAAGTTATTTTGCCCACCACTACATACAAGCAATTCCGAAATTCATATAAAATGCCACTTTGTTCACGTTGTCTCGTGGTAAGAATTCTTAAGTACTAGAAATATTAACTAAATTTTTGCAATTGGTAGTCTTCTACCATTCAGTAAAATCTTCCGGAGTAAGCGAAACAGTTGACAGCGCTGCATTTTAAGTATTTTAAAATTTTAGATCAACATAACCCTAACACTTTGTAAATTTTTAGAAAAAAGTGGAGCAGGTGTTATAACTGAAATTAAATTTTCTTATAAAAAAAAATTCTTGCTTCTCGATGCTGATAAAATGAGTTAACATGCCTTAAAGCTAACTTTTATTTGCGAGAAACTTCTGAATCTTTGAATAATATTTATTTAAACTATTACTAGCAAAACTGTTTTGGGCATTTGCAACTGAAAAATAATTTTTTTTTTTTCAATGCTTTCCATAGTGATTCGGTAAGTAACTTTTGTATATGTCTTATTTGATTTTATTTTAGTTACATCGGCTTTTGCTATAGTTTATTCTGTGAAAATTTTATATGAATAATATTTATCAAAAAATTATTCTCTTAACCAGACCTGCCAACTTTTAATCCCTTCCATTATCATTTTTCCCAGTGGTATTAAAATGGAATTAAAACTTCAATTTTAAGCAAACAATTGCGTTGTATTTGAACAAAATTAAGTTGACAACCATGATAGTAACGCATAATAATATATAAGCTTAATTTTTGTAAGAATAGTGGTGATCAAAATCAATTAAAAATTAAATTTATAAAAGAAAAAATAGTACATATTTACTACCACTTTAAATATGAAAATAAAATCTCCCGCAAAATCCGGGAGAGTTGACAGGTATGTCCTAACCCTTTCGCAACAGCAAAATTTAATTGAGAATATTAATCAGACAGGACAAACGCAAGTGCGAACTTGCTCTTCATTCTAACTAAAACGACTTTAACTCTTCGTTGTTCAGTGAATAGGGGTAGCTAAGCGTTTCGAAGCAATAAGTTTTACTTTTCCAGTGGTTTATAACATTTGTTCAATTAGTGATATTAGACAGGGCTACACTGCTCCGAGAAGGGTTGAGCGAAAGCCTTTTAAGAAGAGTTTAAATATTTAATTCTATTTTTCATCCGCTTAAATATTTAAAATAAATTTACGAATTTTAAATAAATACTAACATTTTCACTTCTATTGACTTTCCTTTATTCTACGAACGATTTTTCCATATTTAAAATAAATTTTCGAATTTTAAATAAATACTAACATTTCCACTTCTATTGACTTTCATTTATTCTACGAACGATTTTTCCATATTTAAAATAAATTTACGAATTTTAAATAAATACTAACATTTCCACTTCTATTGCACTTTCATTTATTCTACGAACGATTTTTCCCTAGCCACAGCGAAATTTTATTTAAAAAAAATTCATTACAGTCGAAGTTCTTAAACACTTTACCGCTGTAGACAGCCATCACGGCAAATTTTCGTTCAACTGCATAAGTAATATAACATTTAAAATATAGAAACCCGCACTAAATTGGCCCAGATATCCTGGTCGGCTGGGCGCAAGGCCCATGTCCGATAGTTCGTGGGTTCGAACCCCGCCGGCCGAAGACTCCCCATGTAGTAAATGGTGACGGATGTGCGTTAAATCTGTCGAGTCGCTAAGTCCTCCATGTTCCCATAACAAATCAATACCTCTGGTGTGCTGGATTGGGGATTGTTCGTTCTCTGATACAGGTCAAAAGTACGATCTGTGGATGAATGAATGGGTCCGCTGTATAAACGGGTGTGACGTATGGGTGTGACAGAAGTAGAATTCTTGGCCATAGATGGCGCCACTGGAAAACAAAAACAATCGCACCCCTCTGCCTTAACAGGCATGCGAGAGAGAGAGAGACGCACTAAATTGATAACCAACTCTTTTGAACAGTTGAATATTGTTGGACTGTTGAAATATTTTATGTAAATGTTTAAAAATCTACAAACGTTTAAAAATCGATTTTTTTTTTTTAATTGAGAAAATTTTAATCAAGTATTAATCAGAACTGGAGTCGAGATCTTAAAAAAGTCTGCAGTCGGAGTTGAAAATTTCATCCTCAGCTGCTCATTGATGGGAGAATTGTTTTAAATTTTGTCGAAATTTAAAAAGTCGAGCGATTAGACTTAGATCATAACTCAAAGATTCAAACTTATTAATCTGATATAAGAATAAGACGCAATGCATGGTTCAGAAAATTCGAGCAATTTGTGTTGAGATGACGAAAAGAATCTATGCTTCTCGTTTTTATCCCCTGTGCCTTGTGAGAGTTGAAGTTGAGATGAGTTGAAGTTTACAGAGTGGTCGGGAAATTAGCATAGCAAAGAAAAATTCGGTGATCAAGGATAAAATCGATTCATTGCAAGGTTTACAATGGGCACTGGCCTGAAAGCGAGACCGAAAAGAGAAAACACTGGTAGGAAACTGAATAATGAAAAGATAAAGTCATCATCAGCTCACACTATTATATCCACAAAAAAGAGTGCTTTCTAATATTGTATTAATATAGCCAAAGCAAAATTTATCACTGCAATACTGTGAGGAGCACTTAAAAAAACTGATACAAAAGTAGAACATGTTAAGTAAAAAATAAAACATAATAAGCAAAATATAGAAAATAAAAATAGAAAATTAAAAAAAAAAAAATACACAATAAAATACAAAATGTAACATATAAAGCAAGAAGCGAATTTAAATGAACTTACACATCTATCTAATCATGGCTGTATTCATTTTTCAATGGCAATTAATGTAAATCTCCGATCAAGTTTGTACATACTTCTAATCATGATTACTTATAATTATAATGTTACCACATTGTTACATAATTCAAAATATTTTATTCACTGTATATAATTTTCATGATGAATGGGGTAGGGGCCGCTGCGCGGCCTAGGCACCCAGCTTTGTTTAAAGAAAGAAAGAAAGATGAACTTACACATACCGTTATCTTTCAAAAATTATTTAAAATATTTTCGTAACAAGTTTGCCAGGTTACAAAATATGAAAATAGAAGCATAAATAGAGGATAGAGGGAAGTAAATTCATTTGAATTCACTACTCGCTTTATATATAATATATTGTATTTTATTTTGTAGTTTTTTTTTTTTTTTTTTTTTTTTTTTTTTTTTTTTTTTTTTTTTTTTTTTTTTTTTTNTTTTTTTTTTTTTTTTTATCTTGATGTGTATCTTGATGTGTATTTTTTTTATGTTATTTTGTATTTTTGACTTGATATGTTCTATTTTCGTTTAATTTTTTTTTTTTGGGTGGGGGGTGCCCCCGACACTATTGTATTAATAAGTTTTGCTTTTTCTATATTAATACAATATTAGAAAGCACTCTTTTTTTCGGATATAATCGTGTGAGTTAATGACGAGATTACATCTTTTCATTATTTTATTTTCCATTTTTCTACTTTAAATTTTTTTTAAATTCTTAGATATTTTTTTAAATATTTTATTTTATATACTTGAAGCTTATGCGCAGTAAATGTAACTTCTTATTTTTCTTAACTTTCTACCTTTTTTTTTCATTTTATCTTTATTATATATGATATGTGTATATATATTCTGAAAACTTTAGTTTTAAATTGTCTACCACTTTAAAAAATATTTTGCAAAAAGCATAGCAGTTGGTTAAAAATATGATTAAAATATGAGAAATTTTTATGCTTATTATATAAGGTTATAATTAAATCAAACTTATTAAAACATAAATCAATTGAGAAAGCTTTAATTCCAAAACCACTTAAATGTAAAAATTTAAATTTTATCTAAAATGTCAGAACATAGGATGGTTGGTGGGAACGTGTTACTGATAACAACATTTAAATCAATCAAGCAATGTAATCAAATTTTTTAATTGCAAAGTAACCATTATTACTTGTAAATGTTAATATGAGATTTACGATCATAGTAACTGTAATCCAAAATTATGATTAATTATAATCGCAATAACAAGTTATTGATTACTTGTAACCCGTATTTCTTGCACATTACACCCATCTCGGAAGCAAATATGGAAATTTTACGCATTTTTAAATATACAACCAATGAAGTTTTTTATATATAAGCGTATTAAATGTAACAATATTCCTCTAATTATCTTAAAATTGATTTTTTTTTCTTCTTCTTTTTATAACAAGACGGATGGAGAAACAATATTTTACGAATTCTTGGATGAATGCCTCCATGGTGCTATATGGGAATATATTTCCCAGCATGCCAAAGATCTTTCCAGAGAAATGTATTGTGCACTTGTAAGTAGTCATTTTGTTATAAAAATTTACATAACATAGCTTTTTAATATATCTCTGTCACAGAAGTAGACAAAATGCGTGCCGCATCGCAGTAGTGTGTCGTGAAGTATGCATGACTTCAAGAGCAATATTAATCCTTTAATACTAATTTGTTGCTATTAAAATGGAAAAAGTTCCAAATTCGATAACACTGGGGAACAGATTTTTTGTTGCATTAATGAAGGTATTTGATCTAACCTAATTCGAGTGAGGGAATACAATTTTTTGTTGCATTAATGAAGGTATTTAATCTAACCTAATTCGAGTGAGGGAATAAAATTTTTTGTTGCATTAATGAAGGTATTTGATCTAACCTAATTCGAGTGAAGGAATACAATTTTTTTGTTGCATTTATTCAAGAACTTGATCCTACCTAATTCGAGTGTGTGGAAAAAAAGTTTTTGTTGCCTTTATACAAATACTTGATCTTCCCTAATTCGAATGTTGGAATACAATTTTCTGTTGCATTTATACAAGTACGTGATCTTACCTAATTAAGATGTTGGGATTTAAAATCTGAAATTAGTTTTGTCTCGAATGTTGCAGATTATTTCAAAATGATAGTTTTAGTTTAGTTTTTATCTGAATGTAGTTTATTAAGAACGCATAAGTTTATATGCATACATATATGTCTGCCCCTTTGAAAATAACGCTTAAGAAAAAACATATGACCTTAACCTATCGCATCGCAAACTGAAATTTATTATCACCTTCCTCCTACCACTACCTACGTAGTAGAACTGTGGGGACACTTAGAATTCCTTCGGGCAGATATTAAAATAAAAATATCTCCTCAAAAAGATCCTTTCAAAAAGCTTCTGCAATAGAAAAGGAGAAATTTTTTTCTACACTAATCAAAAGTAAGAACGTTCTGACTGTAAAAATAAATAAATAAAAATAAAAAAGTGGGTTAAAAAGCAATGAGAATAGTTATTTCCTATGTTACTTCCTACCAGTGCAAGGCTGGGTTTTTAGAAGATATTGTTTTAAAGCGCAAGACTTTCAAACTAGACTTTTGACGGTGAGACTTCTAAAATATTTTTCAGGAATTTTCTAAAATTCTGCAAAACTCTCGACTACTTTATAACGTATTTCACAGAAAGGCAAAGCAGTTAGTATCCCTCATTACGGTAACTTCACGGCTTGGTTATTGCTTTATGATGATGCCATCTGATAAAGTTCCCTAAAAAAAGTTCATGAGACTATCACAACTACCGGATAATGCATTACTACCAACTTCAACGGTCGTTGATTATTACCATATAGCAGTAAAATAATAAGTAAAATATGACTTGTTTTTCGAAAATGTTCGATGCTCGAATTTCGATGCTCGAAATGTTCGATTTTCGAAATGCTCGAAATGTTCGAATGTTTCGAAAATGTTTCGATTTTTAAACATTTTTAATTTTTTTTCCAAAATTAAAAGGAAAAAAATTCGAATTTCCATATTATTTTTATATTCAACGTGATTTTATTTAGTATATCATTAGCTAATTGGAAAAATTTGCTTTTTGCCTGCCGTCAACGTCATTTTGCCATACACCATGCTAATTGGAAAATCTCCATTATTTGCTATTGCGCCTTACACTTTTGGCTTATTGCAACGATCAAAATTGTTTCGAACGGATAAAAATATTAGATCCATTGTTCAATTATCTTATTTTATTTTAGGCCATTGGCAATGTGCTTAAATAATATCACGAAAATTAGAAAATGTATCTAAATAGTCTTAATTGGTAACATCTTTGTTAACCACTGATCATAAATATTAATGTTGTTTAAACTAGGGCAGGTTAATTAATCTAATTCGCCTTTCTTGATGAAGCTGATTTACTATACTTCTCTATTCAAAGCACCGTCATAATATAATTCTTATGACTATAAATCTAATCAAATTTAGACAATTTTAAGAAAATCGCAGTTTTTTTAATGCCGTATTAGCTGATTTTTATAAGTCTGAGAAGTATCAGACAGAAATCAAAGTTCTGATGGCTTTTCCAATTAGCCAGGTACACAGCAAAATGGCAACAACATCTGCAGTGTTTCAATAAATATTCCAAGTAACCTACGACATATACAATCTTTATTCGATAATTGGTTTTGGTTTACCAAAGAAGATGAACCTTTTACACTTGACGCTTTTGAGAAATTTAGGTTCGTTCAAATTGGATATTTTCAATAAATTCTTGTCACTGCAGAAAAAATTCAGAAGCATTTTATTTCTGTAGGGTATGTTTCTAAAATAATGCTTTTAGCTATTGTTATTTTTTTTTACATTATTTTCAAATTACATATTAAATCTTTTTATTTTACGCTAGATTTCAAGCAATCCTGGAAAATACGTTTTGGATAATGAAACAACAGAAGTGTTAAGAAAAAAATTGCTGAAGAAAAATAATGACCCTAACTGGACTGAGATCTGTAATCCAGTGGACAGTACGTAAATATTACTTCTTGTATATCTATAATAATAATTTTTGTCTAATAATAATCTTGTATATCTATAATGATTTAATAGATGCTTCTAACAGCTTGACTATAAAAATATTTCTTTGAAATAAACAGCTGAAGAAAATCAATATTACTTTTACGCTTTTTTGTCCACCACAAATTATCTACCATTTAACACACCACAGCAGGGGATCGAACCTAGTTTTTCACAATGTCAACTCAATAAACGTTACTATAATATTACAACCGTTATAATTATAATTATAATATTATAATTATAACCGTCGTTGAACAGCCGACCAAATTTTATGGGTTTACGACTACTAATATTCAACTCCGTAGCCTTGTAATTTTTAGCCCAATCCAGAAGACAAGAGAACTCCTGGATCAAATAGTGGGACAAATTTGCCTTCGTGGAGGACTTTTTGATGGAGCTAACCCGCATTTTCGTTACATGGAGAGGAAGACTACGAGAACCTCCCACGGTTAGCCTGACGGCTAGGGGACTCTGACCCTTGATCCGTCTACCACTGAGAATATTTCACGTCAGCACTGCGGTCAGTGCAAGCCGGATGAGGAATTCGTATCGATTGGGATTCGAACCTGATTCGCCACATTGGAAGGCGAACGCTCTATCACCTGAACCATCGCGACTCTGACTATAATATAGTAATTAATTATTATATTAATAGTTAGATTAATTTTTCATGGTGTAGTCAGTGCAGGTTTTTATACTTATAGTGTATGAGATCCGCTATTTATTTTTAAAGTACTACGGTGCTCGATGCCTATTAAAACCACGTTCATTCTGAGAACGTTTGATTTTATGACGCGGCTGATTTTAAAAACCAGAATGTCTACACATATTAAAAAGAGATAGTTTGAGCATGTTTTTTAATATTGTTTCATAATGGTTCTGCTCTTGCAGTTTTGATTTCAAAAAGTGACTGATTCTGCAATCTAGTAATTTTATTAATGGTGGCAGATTTAATGGTTGAAAAAGGTTAGAATCGCTAGATTAAGAAAACCTGTTTTAGATAAATGCTACTGAAATGATATTTCAGTATTTGTGTTGGAAGATTTTAGCCTGAAATGATTACAATTGTCTTATAAAACTATTATTTTTATTAAAGATAAAATTATTTACAAAATGATTAATTGAAATAAATAGACATAAAATGGAAAATATTGTTAAAATATTTTACTGGCTACTAAGAAATTATCATAATAATAAATTTGATCGCGTGAGCAATCTATTAACATTCAAAAGTTTAATTTATCAAGATAATGTGACACTTCAAATATTTAAGCATAGCAAAGTAATCAGTTTATCTTTACGAAAGCTCATTATCTTTGAATTATATCTTGTAAGAAAGGAGTAAAGAAATAGAAAATTACCTAAAGGTCAAAACAAGATTTGCTCCAAAAATTTAAAAAGAAAATAAATAAATCAGATAGCGTGGAACAGTGCCATTTTTTGATTAGATGACATGGACGAAATAAGTGTCATCTTCTTGCTTATTTTTTCAAGGCCCGTTACCGCCGTTCCGTCTCCTTTTTTTTCATTCTTTCTTTATTTATACCGTTTTTATTCAAGGTTGTGTGAGAAAAGTGCTTGATAACTTTAAATAGATTTCGCACGCGCGGACTAATGAATAAAATTCATTACTTAGCCCAAACGTTGACAAAATGGAATGATTTTCGAAAGTGGTATTGCCCCCTGTGTAGAATGAAATGTGTTCGAAACAAATGCCTTTGGCAATTAACCTTCAAAGTACACATACACCTCAAAATACTTTCAAAAACTGAAAACAACTTTTCGATTAAGTTAGAATAGCGATTCCCAACATATTTAGTTTTAGGAAAAATCATATATATATATATATATATATAACAATATTTTTTTTCTGTAATCTGCTGTTGTTATTTTATATTAGTAACAAATATGTTTGTTTAAAAATATCTTGCAGTAAGATATTAGTGCTGGAAAGTTTTGTCACAGATAGCTCGAAAAAATTCTGCCTCAGGGCTAATAATAAATGTTNATATATATATATATAATAAGATGAAAAACTACCAAAAAATATAAATTCATTCAGAAGATTTTTTCAATAAATGTTAATGATTTCTGGTTAGAGCTGCTGTTCCCAATTTTTCTTTCATCTACGGAAACCTAAAGGATCTAACTTCTCTTGGCGGAACCCTGACTTATAAATAAAGTTTATTTTCAAATGTGCATATGTTAACCAAGAAAGAAGAAAAAAACAACACATTTAGGAATGTTTAATTCGAGAAATGAAACTCTTTTCATTGTTTGTGCAATAACTGTCTTAAAATTAATTTTTATGTTAGGCAGTTGAATTCACGACTTCATCATGGCTTTTAGTTTAGTAGTTCTTGACGTATGCGTAAATCAAATTGAATAACATAAGCTGAATTATGGTTTTTGAAAAAGAACTCCTATAAACTGTAAGAACGGTTATTGGAGAAAATTAATTGATTATTCTTGAAATTGCTCCTTTTATTTTGAATTTTAAAATTCGTTAAAAAATACGAATGCAATAATTTGTATATGCATATCATTTTACTAATTCAAGCAATATATTTTTATTTAAAAAAGAATATTTTTTTTAAAATTTACTATTTCTTTATTGGTATTTCACTTAAATAATTTCACGAAAACAACCTAAATATTAAATATAATTCGATTATTGGTTTGATGCAAACCTATAGCAGGTTTCAAAAATAATTACTGGTTAAAAAATGACTGGTTAAAAAATGACCCCTGCAATCTTTCCACTTAACATTAGGGTTCTGCGGGGCCCCTTTTGGAAATCGCTCAGTTAGGGAATTCAGAATTAAAATTTCATTCCGCTACCTTTTGGATCTAGATTTATTAAGATGAAGATAAAATATTCTGACCTATACGAATATCAATTGAAACAATGCTAGTTCATTTTAAATTTTTCCGGGCACTTGCAATAAAGCAAAATAATTTCCTTTAACCCTTTTGGGCTGACTGTCACAAATACGTGCCAGCATAAAAACGTATCAATCAGGGTAAAAAGATAAAACTGGTAATCAAAGTAATTCTTTAGCAGTTTATTTGTGGGCGGAGTTATAATTGTTTGATTTATTTAATTCGTCATTACTTTGTTTACAAAAAAACTATTTAGTTTAGTTATATTATTATTTAGTTATTGTTTATTAACATTGATTATATGTATGATTAAACTAACAATAATTAAAGTAAAAGCAAAGTAAGTCTGTCAAATTAGCGACGACTACATTTAAGTTACCGTTTTTTATTTAATTACAACTTGATTCTGATTTTGTACGAATGCTTATCTGAATCAACCGTCCCCAAGGGATTAATAAAGCAATGCGTTAAAATTCCGTTGATTGGTCATTGTTGTAGAGAAATGCGCTCATTCATTAAGGGTTAAAACGTTATTTTTTTCTATCTGCCGCTATATAAATGTTATCGTCTACAGGTGATTGATCATTATTTTAAAAGCCTTAAAATCAATTGCGAAAAAAACTTTTTTCTTTTTTTTTATTGGATGAATCTTTAATACAATATAAAGATAATGTGATTGTTAAATAAATATAGGTTGTCAATTTTTTTTTCAAAGGCGGATCCGCTTTAACGATTCCATTTCATCTTCCCGAATCTAACAATAAGTTTCGTAGAAAAAAATTTTGACCTTTTCAATAGAATGCTGTCGGTGAATTGTTTATTTAAGACAGCTCAAAAAATAGACGTAGATTGAAATTCATGTTTGATAAAATAAAGTCCAGATGGGATTTTTAAGTAAATAAAAATTACTTGATTTTAAGCTGACTAATGTCCTCCCAAAGCTAAAAAATTAGTGACAAAATTTCTCACCAAACAATCGAAAACTCACTTCTTTAACTCGCAAATTATTTAAAAATTACTTCTGTTAGAGAATCTCTGCGAGAGATATATACGTTTTATGTAATTCAGAATATTAAATAGGAATGGATCGTTTAGTAATTATACTATCAGTTATTTTAGTTTTGGGTGTACTCTGTCCAGCTTAGTGACAGCGATTCCAACTCTCTTCGCACAGTGGATAAATGATTTTTGCCCACTACTACCTCTAAATACATCGAAGGCTCACTAAACAAACTGGGCGCCTGAGGCATCACCTCCTACATCAAGAAGCCTCCACACGGTCTTTTATAAGTAGTCCGCGCAGACTGTTTAAAAAGTGAACTAGTTGTGCGTATGAACCCAAAACCTTTTATAAAAGTAATTGAGAGAAATCTATCTTATATATTTGAGAATTGAATCTGTAGTGGTTGACAAGTGAATAAGGCAAACCAGTAATATTCATAAATAAAATTAATTTTTAGTCATATATTTACTACCACTTTCTTATTTTAACTATATTCTGTATTAAATTACTCGTTCAGTAAGTGCATATCCTTCACAGTAGTCTGATCGGACTACCTATGATAAACCGTGTAGAGGAGGCGTTGCCTGAGGCCGCTTGCGACCCTTTTCCCACTCATCATTAGCTTGATCTTTGTGGTGCTCCGATGAGGTTAAGGAATGCAAATGAAGTAAAGGAGTATTCTTGTGGATCATCGAGGTTCTGACTGTGTAATTATATGCAGTAGGGTGATAAGACTATATTTTATCTTATTTTATAACCGTCGTTGAACAGCAGACCCAATTTTCAATCAATCAACTCCGTAGCCTTGTAATTTTGAACCCAATCCAGAAGACAAGGGAACTCCTAGATCAAGTAGTGGGACAAAATTGCCTTCGTGGAGGACTTTTTGATGGAGCTAACCCGCAATTGCGTTACATGGAGCGGAAGACCACGAGAACCTCCCACGGTTAGCCTGACGGCTAGGGGACTCTGACGCATGATCCGTCTACCACTGAGGATATTTCAGGTCAGCACTGTGATCGGCGCAAGCCGGATGCGGAATTTGTATCGACCAGCCATCGCGGGGATCGAATCCCGGTTCACCTCACTGGGAGGCGAACGCTCTATCCCCTGAACCATCGCGGCTCTGATAAAACTATATTGTAAAAGTATGAACTTTAGCTAAACTGATATGATGAAAATGAGGTTATGTATATGCTATTGATTATCGAAGGCTCATGAGATAGGCCAATTTGTATCACTTAGTGGGTAATGTTTTTCCAGTGGTAACAAAATCTAACGTTTTAAACGTTTCAATATATGTATCTTGGTTTAGGAAATTTGATTTTCACATGTACTCCTTTTCCCACCACTGCGTATAATTTGCTAAAAAGTTCACGAAAAATGCCATTTTAAATTTTTAGTTCAGTATACCACTTTTTAAACTTTTTTGAAGAAAACGGAGTGGTTTAATTCCCTGCGTTTTCACAACGAATGAGTAAAATAATTGTAAATGGTTATCCATCATATATGATATAATGTGATATGAAACATTTGATATAAGATATTTAAATATCATATTTGTTACATTATTCATATTTTTTGTGTTTCAGATATTTCAGTAGATGTACTAACCTGCCATGCATACAAACTCACAAAAGCGAGATATACTTTGACGAATAAAATTCTGACAGAGTTTCACAAAGACGTTGTTATTAATTCAGTAAGGCCTTATTTCTTTCTTAAAAAATAATCAATAATTTCAAAGCATATACATTTTTTTTATAACTTGTTCAATGATTTTAAAAAATGTATTTATTTTTTTATGATTAAGGAAATATAAAACTAATGATTCATTTCGGTATTAAATTGATCGTGCGTAGTTAGTTAATAATAATTGATTATTAATACTTTGATGATAACAACTAAGATTATAATTATATCTTCAATATGATAATGTTAATAACAATTAACTTTTTATTTATTATAAATAAATAAATAAAATATTTATTTTAACATTTTGGATTAACATAAAATTTATTTAAAAATAAATTATTCGAATATGTGGCTACTGACTTATTTTAATAGTCCTAAAAACCTTTGGAGGATTAAAACACGTATACAAAACTTTTGATGATCGACAATCAATTTGGATAATAACGTTCTTCGTTCAAAATGCATATTTCGCAATTAAAGTTTGTTAACATGATTTTTAAAAAAATTATATGCATTCCGATTTTAGTAAGATTTTATGGTTATCAAATAAAATAAATTGTTTTGTAATTAGGTTTTCGTGTGAAATCATATGTGAAACTTAGGCTATGAAATAGAATTATTTCAAAGCAGTAGCAATAGCTCTTTTCAGTTTAAAAAAAAAAGTCTCTATCTGAAAAAGTGTATAAACACTAATTATCTCTAAAAATTTATTTTAAAAAAATTTGATATAAATTAATATTACAGTTTGAAAATCGTGCTCGAAGCACATAAACCCGCATATGTATATTTATGTATATACCCGCATATGTATATATATATATATATATATATTTAGATATATATAAACCCGTATATATAGATAAATCAGTTCTAGCAGCTTGGTTGTCAGTATATTACTTTTTGCACTTAACGCAATAAATATAATTAAAATAAAAATTTAAAATATGTTTATCGCGCACGAAATAAATTTATTTAAGTTATATGATGCAATGTTACTAAGAAGCAGCTTATAATCATAAACCAATTCAGAAGCGAAATTTTACCATCCAAAATCGTAAATTGCTAAGTGGTGACTTTTGATGTCACAATATAAGTGTCAGTGCAAAAGGTAAATTGTTATTTAAAAAAAAGAAAAACGGTAGAAACTGGTGCTAGACTAAAATAATAATTGCTCGATAAATTTCTGGCATTTTATACATTCAAATCAAATTATTCTGCCTAGTAATATATAATTTTCGTCTAAAAAGAAGGAAGAAAAAAAAAAAAGATTTATCATGATTTCTCAAAAAATTTTCCACTTGAGCATTACATAAATATTTTGATAGAAACGAATAACCTTAAACAACAGTTCATAATATCCTCCTACATTTGAGGTTTTTAATGAAATAAATTTTACAATGCTATGAGCTAAGACAGAAATTTTATAAATAATTGTAGAATGTTCCTATAGAACTTGAATGAAACTTTTATATCAGAACTTAAAAACGCAGCCATTTGCAGAAACTAAGAAAGAGTACCAACGAGGCCACCTCAGTTGGCCGGCCCAGTTGGTAGTTATTGACTTAATAGGTAAAATTGAACAGATAGGTTAATTATTAATTAAGCTAAGGGAAGGGAAAAGAGGAGAAAGAAAGAACAACACAAACATAAAAACAACTCAAACTAAAATTATAAATGGGATTAATATGGTTGATTAAAAACAATGTTTTTTTTTATAATTGTATATATAATAAATGTTAATATATATTAGTTGCTGTTTCTAATGCCATTTGCCAATATCAGCAGTCTGCTTGGTGAAACCCAGCGAATTTAAGGCAGCTGGGGAGTTTTTTGTTTTTCAGTGGCACCATCTATGGCCAAGAACACGACTTCAACCGAATACACGCGTCACGGCCCATTTGTAGGGCGGACCCATTCATACATCCATTCATTCACAAATCGTAATCTTGAACTGAACCAGAGAACAATCAATCTCCAATCCAGTACCCCAAGAGGTATTGTTGTGACCAGATAGATTTAACATATACCAGTCACCACTTACTACACAGGGAGTCTTCAGCCGGTGGGGATTGAATTCATGACCTCTTGGGGCCCAACTCCCAACCAACCAGGTTATATATTAGTAGGCCGTAAATATTAGTAAAAAAAAAACTGAAATCAGTTAAATAGATTCTTACAGTATTACGTTATAAAGGGGTATTTACCACTCCCAAGTAGGTGGAGGAAGTTTACTTGAGTTATAAAAATCATCCCAGATGTTTGCCTCTTCACACGTGCATAATTTAACATACCGGCCGAAAACGTTTACAGCCCTTATCATCTAAACTTTTGTATTTATTTCAATCATTTAAATATAGTGGAAAACAAATTCTTTTAATTATAATTTATTGGAATATTAATATATAACCTTTGTTACCACTAGTGAAATAATTCTAGAACTTGAGAAATTTCTCAAGTGTTGGGGAACATGCGTATATGCAGAAAAATACGACTATAATCTACATAAAAGACGTGGTTTGAGTTCGATAGGGAAACTCAATGATTGCCCCCTCCCCGGATGTGATCATAGAAACCATTTGGATTTACTGTGTGTTGTTATAGTTCTTCCTATGTAATATGTTATTCTATTCACTTGTTTTTAACCTTACTCATTATATGTAAGATTATTTTCTTTTGTATCATTTAGGTTTCTCAAAAATTGCTAGACATCTACTCAAATGATATGGAGAAGAAATTAAAGAAGCAAGATTACAAAGAACTGAAACAAAATCCACCACGAATTGGCTTTTAATCAAACGAAAAATCTAAAACAATATTTATTTTGTAATACCTAACAAAATGTTGTGCAAATCAATAACATGAAACCTTAAGTTTTTATAAATTATTCAACAAACTTAAACATGCTTTTTTAATTACATTTATTTTTCATTCATGCTTTTACTCAGAAAAAGTATACACCGAAAAGCCATTATATTATGACCCCCTTCCATCTATAACAATGGGCTCACCCAGGTTTTCATGATTTCTCGCCCTGGAACAATGTTTCCATGGGGCACATTAGAGCCCATAATCCTCATAGAACAATCCCTGACGTAAGCTACTTGAACATAGTTGCAGACCAGGTTCACCCATTCATGGCAACAGTTCCTGCGGGGGATGGTGTTTACCAACAGGATAATGCACCATGTCATAAGGGTCGAATCGTCATGGATTGGTTCGAGGAACATTCCAGTGACTTTCAAGTCATGTCTTGGCCCCCAAATTCACCTGACCTTAATCCAATAGAGCATTTGTGGTCCTACTTGGAAAACCAAATTCGTGCAGCCACGCTACCCCTTCGCAATGAGAGGGAATTGCAGGACCAGTTGGTGAGCACTTGGTACCAGATACCTCAGACTACCTATTAGCACCTTGTGGAATCAGTGTCACGGCGGGTGCTAGCAGTTTTGAGGGCTAAAGGCGGTCCTACATGTTATTAGCAGGGTGGTCATAATGTAATGGCTCTTCGGTGTGGTCAAACTATGTTTCTAAAAGAGATTATTATTGTTAATAGCTAATTAATTAGCCTGGGAAACAAATTTTTTTTAGCATTTATACAAGTTTTTGATATTACCTAATTCGGGTGTGGGGACTTCAAATCAAGGTTTTGTTCCAAAAACTGCAATTTTATTAAAATGATATATTTAGTTTAGTTTGTTTTTTGTTCAAATATACAAGTTTATCAAGAGCGTATAGGTTTATATGCATACATATATACTTGTTTGCTCCTTTTAAAATAACACTTAAGACGAAGAGACAAAAAAAAATGACGTTAACGTATCGCATCATAAACTGAAACATATTATCACCTTCTTCTTACCACTCCCTACGCAGAAGAGGATCGGGGACACTTTGTATTCCCTCAAGATTATTTTAAAAAATCTTGGTTAGGAATATATTATTTAATTGCATATTGTATTTTGTAAAAAGAAACCGATTGCATATTTGAAATCAGTGACGCATAATTAATTAAGATCCGTTCAGAAATCTCATGCGACAGAAAACGAAAAAAAAATTGTTCCCTTGTGTTATTAATTAATTAATATTAATTTATTAAAAAATGTTAAGAGCATTTAAATTTAATAACCTAAAATTTCATTTATTTGTTTTTTTGAAACTCGTGCTTTTTCTCTTGGAAAAAAAAATTTGTTCAAACCAAATATTTTTTTTAAAGAGAATTAGTTTTATGAAAAAAAAACAAGGGTTTTAGGGTCCTTATTTATCGATTGGAAGCCCCCTTTGACAGAATGCGTGAGATCGTCTCCATTTTCTCCCACCTCTCCCCCTACGCGACACAAGACAGTTCATTGCTATAGTACATAACTTCGAAGTACACTGAACGCGTTAGGTGTTCATTGTACTTGTATATGGAATTGCGATAGTTAACTGCAAAGAATATTTAAATATTCTTTATTCTTTATAAACAAAACAAAATAAAAAGAAGAAAATTCCTATTTATTCCTTCGGTTTTCAAATTTAACTATAAATTATATTATATTTCAGTTATTCATTGTCTTAAACATGACATGCTAAGTAAATGTGAGTTATTTCTTCAGAAATTCAGATTTGAATTATGTCACGCTTTGTCGGGTGATTGCTCTAGTAAATTTGTCGAGCACCGAAGAAAACTCACGATCACCCAAACGGAAATATAGTAAAGGGATTCTAACCCCTCCGTTTTAAACTACAAGGAATTATATGCAGACATTTCGTTTTATTTTAGTTATATGGGTATATTAATATCCTTAGGAATAATTTTTGTTTCAATGAAATGAATTCTGATTGAATCTAGTGACCTAAGTGTAAATTTTAAGACGGTGTTTTTAAAACTTTTTCAAAGATATTATACTAGTTTTAGCATTTTAATTAATAAAAGGAAGCAAAAACTATACAAAAATATTAATAAGTTTCTTAATAGGAAATAAATAAATAGCGTGCATCGAGATTCTCCGTATGATGTAAGATGACATGGAGGCAGTGGAATTTCTTTTATACCTAAAGGGAATCCTTAAACGCCTCTTATAACTGAAAACCTCCACCCGGTTTCGTATACTATCTAGTCTATACTAGGTAGTCTGATTAGACCACTACGAAGGTAAACCAGTTTACGAAAGAGCCATTTAATAGAAAATCTGGTAAAAATAAGGAAGTGGTAGCAAATATATGTCTAAAAATTTGTTAAATTTATGAATATCATTGTTTTGTCCTATTTACTGGTCAACCATTAGAGATTCAATTTTCAAATATGTATGATAAATTTCTCTCAATTACTTTTTTTTAAAAAAATTGTGTGCATGCGCACAACTGGTTCACTTTTTAAATAGTCTGCGCAGACTACTTATCTTTCTTCTTCTTTCAAATCCCCATTTCTAACGTAGCTAGACAAGGTCCATGAGATTGTTCACCTTCAAAAAGTAGACTACTTATAAAATACCGTGTGGAGGCTTTTTGGTGTAGGAGGTGATGCATACCTGCCAACTTTTAATCCTTTCCAGTATAATTTTTCCCAGTGGTATTAAAATGGAATTAAAACTTCAATTTAAGCAAACAAATACGTTGTATTTGAGAAAACTTAAGTTGACAACCATGATAGTAACGCATATTAATGTATGTGCTTAATTTTTGTAAGAATAGTGGTGATCAAAATCATTTAAAAATTAAATTTATAATAGAAAAAATAATATATATTTACTACCGCTTTAAATATGAAAATAAAATCTTCCGGAAGAGTTGGCAGGTATGGTGATGGGATAACCGTCCAATTTTAAGCGATACGTTTGAATAATTTTTTATAATTTTAATAAAACTTTTTATGGTCCAAATTCTAAAAAAAATATATATCTATTTCATACAAGCCTTAACATTTAAAAAAAAAAAAAGGTAAACAATTTCATTTACTAAAATTTTTTTTTAATTTTAAAACAATTCGAATCAAGAAGTTAAAATTGAAAGTTCGAATTCTTGATTACAATATTGTGAGGTTCAGATAATAAAATGAGTTCAGATGGTTATATATATATATATACGAGAGAGCCCCCTCTCTCGAGATACTTCCGCTGTCACTGCTTTCGCTTCTTGTTTACCGTAAATCGAAATATCGCGTGCACAAATTAATTAGTATATTGAAAAATATAACTTCGAATCATTAAAATCTCATCTCAGTACGTGAAAACACGATCATTAAACCGAGGGTTATTAAGGTAGTCGCTTTTTTATTTTGTACATTGCACCGCTAAGAAAGAAAGGAGCCAGCGACTGCAATAAATATTTAAAATACACATATTTTGATCTGAGATAACACCGCCATAATTTTATTTTAAAAGACGTAAATGATTTATCCTTTCTTCTTCAGAGGTAAAGTATTTATATAAATTTTATGGCTGACTTTTTTTCCACTCTTTAAGAGTACTGACAAGATTAAAGAACATTCACTATATATAGTTAAGTAGCTGATAAATTGCGAAATCTATTTTGATTTCTGTGTCAAACGGGAAGAAATAATAAATAAATCAATTTCACTTTACAGTGAAAGATAAGAATAGAGAATGAGTTTTGCTTAAAATAGCTTGGAATTGAAATATATGAGAGAAGGAATAGAAACGTAAAAACCATCTTCTTTCCAACACATTTCCATTATTAAAATTTATTGACGTTTTCCTCAACTTTCAGAAGTATTTGAGATTTTATATTCTCAGAATTTTTTTTTATTTATTATTTCTTCTTTTGAACAAATTATTTTGATGATATCAATTTGATTATGGTTGTGATTAAATTGTTGAATTTATAGAGGGAGAATAAATGTACAGTGATGAAAAAAATGAAGTACTCTGAAAAATTTTTGATCTAATCGTCGAATCTTCACGCTTCGAAAACGCAATTTTAATGGTGCGAGGAGGTGATTTCAAGTATGCTCACAAATTTGTGTAGATGATGTTTGAGCGAAATCGGGTGAATAGTTCCTGAGAAATCGAATTGTAAAAAGAATCGTATTTTCAAAATCCGATTTCTCAGAAACCATTTGACCAATTTAGTTCAAATTTCGTATTTTGCCATGTTAAATTGCATTCTTTAAAATGATGCAAAAAAGTTAAAAATTGTATACCCTACAATTCGAAAGTTTTTCCACTATTATTAAATATAATTAATAATAGTGCACTGTTATTAAAAAAATAATAATAAATATTTATAAAAAGTTACATTATGCATGGAGTTACCTTTGGTTAAAAAATTTTATAACTGTGTGCAACATTTATTTAGCTAAGTTGTAAAGTTAACATAAAAGAAAACTGTGAAACAGAATCGGGAAGAAACTACAAACTATAAAATGTAAAGTTTATAATAGTTTCGTAATTTATAATTATTCATTACAGAATCTTATAATTCTTAGAAATAAAGAATTCTTATCTAATTTCTATAATAGTTCATAATTTTTATTAAGTAAGTTTTAAATTTTGCTAATCATGTCTTTATATATCAGCTGAAAATATAGTTAACCAGTTTAATACCATGGCAATAAAAATTGTTTTATAAAAAAGTGACAGAACGCAACGTAACGTAATGTAACATTTGGTAACGTGAATCTATGAATAGTTTAACATTTTCTTTTTTAGAATAAATACATTTTTAAAAAGTCATATCAGACCTATTTCAAACTGTAGATCATTAAATACGTCTTTTTAAATAGGTTTCATTAGGTATAAATTTTGATATGAGAATTTTTCACGCATGTGTCAACGAAAAGCATAAACATCTTAAAAAAATTAATAAATTAAATTTGAGGAAATTAACTACAATTTTCAACTTAAAATAGATCATAAACTCATTAGTAATAAAATATAAAGAATGAAATGTATCATTCAAGTTAAAAAATTATTTTTCCCCCAATAATGCATTCATTAAGATTTGAAGATTATTTACACATTTAACGAAATATTTAATTAAAAAAAGTAAAGAAAATGCAAACAAATATGTCTTGTTTACATTTAATGTGTTCACTATACGCAACTGAATCTTTATTATACACATTATATTAAAAAGATCGTTTTTAAAGAACATTTTCTAAAAGCTCACTTGTTGCTTCATTTAACAATAAATATACACTTTCGATTAATTTAATAAGAGATGTTTTTTAAAAGAGATTAATGGATTCCTTCTTTCCTTGAAATGTTTGTTGGGTATAGTATGCAGATTTTTGACAAACACCAAAAAATCACAATAATTATATTGACAAAAAATTTTGAATAAATATCTTAGAAGTTTCATTAAATTTATATAAATAACAGAGGGGGACAAAAAGAGATTATAAGAAAATAATCAGAATATTCCAAATGCAGATAGAATTGTTTTAGAATCAAATTTAAGAATTTTAATTTAAATTTATAATCTAATTTAATTGTTTTAGAATCTAAACATTATCAAAAAGAAAAACTGATCAAAAGCTGATAAGTCTTAGTTTGTAATGAGCCCTAAAATTGATTCACTTTATTGATAGCCAATTAAAATTTTAATTTATTATGATTTAAAAAAATTAATATAAATATTTAAGAAATTAAATTTATAAAAATTAAAATTGAATCTAAACAGTATTGAGAAAACAAACAACGTTAATCATTTCTAATACAACTTTTATATTTTTATGTTTCATTTCATTTCAACAAAGCGCAAACACACGGAAAAAATCATATTTTGTGAATAGCACAAGCATGCAAACTCTGAGAAAGAATATCATCATATTCAGAATTTGAATCTGGCATCACGCGTCTCGATCGTCGTCTGCAAAGATTTAAAAGCGTTTCTCCAGGTACGTCATTTAGTAGGAATACGTCAAAATCTGAGGTACTTTGTTTGAAATGTAGATTGAAAGAAGTTTAAAGAATTTGGATTAGTTTCCCTCCTTGCTATAAATATTAACACATTTTATGTCATCTTAAATATTAATAATCTTGTCAAATATATTAAACAAAATAATCGCAGTTTTTTGACGCTTTCATGTTTAGCTTTGTTTATTGTTTATCTGGAATGCCTAATGCGTGTTATTGTGACTAAAAATTTCGAACTTATGTCTAACTTTTCTTAAAATAATTATTTATCTGCATTTGAGAAATTGAATTAATTAAAAACTTCTTTATATATGATTTTATCTATAAGTTTCGCTCGTTTTGTTTACATGAAAACTGCTTAAATTTCTATTGGAGCATTAATTTATCTAATTTTAAATTAATCAAATTAAGTACAACTTTTTTCTTTAGATATGAATGATTCGGAGCGAAATCTTCTACATGCTACAGATGAGTGTACAGGATCTTTACTTTCAGGTACATAATTTAATTTAATTATTTTGATTTATTAAAAAAAAAAATATTGGTCTTAATCATAAACATGGACAAAATAATTAAAGCAAAGTATTTTATAATGTCAATTTTTTGTATACATAACTAAATGAAATCCTTTTAATTGGAAATTGCCCACTTTCTTGGGAATCTGACTTGAAAAAAAAATTCTGAAATTGGAGACCGTAATGAATTTAGTTTTTTTGCCAATTAATAAAATTTGATCATTCCTAAGTGTAATTACAACAACATTAATTTGTTTAAAGCGTTAAGAGACTATGTATACTTGCTACATTTATTATGAAATAAATATTTAAAGTTTTGTATACTTTAATTAAATTTTAGCTGGTTTTCAACTTTTTTATAACATAGTTTTAGTTTTTCATTCATGTAATGATTACTTAAACTTATAATTTTTACAGTAATCCTGAAACTACATTTATTTTGAACTCTGTTTAATTAAGAACGTTTATTTGTTTATTTATTTTTAAAAATGGGAACTATTAAAAGATTTTAAGCTTTGAATTAGTCCCTCTATATTTTGCAATTTTAAGTTACAATTACTGTGTCTTTTCCAAATTCATTAAAATTAGTTTGCAAAACGGTTATAAAGTTACTTATGGTAGTTGTATAGTGTTTTTCCAATTAATTTTTAGTTGGAAATCAAGTCAGAAGGTTTTGTATCGAATTTAAGAGCCTCATTTGACCCTTGGGTAGCAGGTCGTACATTCCTGTTTTTAATGATATTATTTAGTTACTTCACTTGTTTTAAAGTTAAAGTTTATTGGAAATCTATTTGATTTTTTTTCCTTCTTGAAATATGGTGTACAAAATATTATGTAATAGTAATTTAAATGCTTAAGAACTTTTTATGTATTAAAATTATGACATGTCAAAAGTAACATTACAAAAAAATATAGACATCAAGAAAGTTTAAAAATCATTAGCAATTTACTATCTTTCTAAATCAAAATGATGTTGAATGCACTGCAAGTTTTACATAATCTTTCTTAAAAAAGATCAGTACCTCAGGTTATTAATTATCTGTACTGCTTTAAATTTGTTACAATCATAATATTTTTAGTGTTTTGTTTTCTGACCTTTAAGTTCTTAGACATTTTGTATTCAGGAGTCTTAAATAATTTTTTCCTATTTTTCATTAATAAAACTCTAGAAATGACTAACTGCCAAAATATTAACTTGTGATATTAAACAATCACATTACATTTTAAATTAAGATTCTTGTTTGTATCTTTTCATAAACATTAATAAAATATAGAATTGTATTTCATAGTTACTAATCTTATCAAGAAGTCTTGTTTAAAGGAATTTAACTTTTTTCTCAATTTTGATAATTTTTTTGAGTAAAAAAGTGTTGTTAATAGTGCACTGTTANACATATATATATATATATATATATATGCGCTATTGGTTTAAATTTATTTTTTAAACAAACTAATGTGATTAAGGAGTATGATATAAAAGAAAGGAGGTCACTTATTTTTATTTTATGAGTTAAGAATTAACATTGTCTTTTGTAACTTTTTAAAACAACTTCTAATTTGTTTTACATAGGATTTAATCCTTTAATCAAGGATTTTTTAAAGCTGTGAAGTCTGTAAACGAATAAATAACTTTTTTTTTTCAGTTCATATGTTAACTTTATGTTGAAGACCATACTTTTTTTTTTTTTTGTATATTTGGCAAAAAAAAAATTTCAAGCATAATGATTAATAAAGTTACTTTTCATTTACAATTTTTCTATATCAACAAATAGAGTAACACAATTCATGGAACAAAATTTTTATTTACATCTTATAATGTATTTATATATATATTTTTTTTTAAATTTAGTACTTTAATGATGTGACTTTTACTTTTTTTATGTGATTTTTATTTTTTATAAAATCAGTAATGCATCATTAATTGTTTTTAGGCGAATCTGGAGATGACCCCAAAGAATTTAAGCTAAAATTAGTCTCAGCTGATGATGATGACGATTACCAGGAAGGTGCTCAGGCGATGATGAACCATTCCCAGGAAAATGGAATGGCAAATGAAATATCAGCGCCTTATGAGTTGCCCCATTTTCCAATTGAGGTCTATGAATCAAGAAAAGTCATCCAAAAGAAATTATGCCCTAGGTAAAAGGAAACAGCTTTACTAAATGTTATCTTTTTTTTTTTCTGAATCTATTTTATTATCTAAATTCCTTCAATAGGTATATTACAAGGAAGAGTTTGTAATCTTGATTTTTAGCTTTTTGTCCTAATATTTCTGATTTTCGTGTGTGTTCAATACATTGCATTTTTTACAAATACAAATGTGGATTTTAAAAAAAATCGATTTGAATAATCATATGATTTGGATTTTTGATCCAGCATTTTATTTCAATAAGAATTAAAAATAAGCTAATAAGAATTAAAAATTTTGCTTGTCCAAACTTTAGTAACGTCCCCTAATTCTATACACAATTTAGGCTTACAGCTTTGCCTAGAGCAGGGTTTCCAACTTACATGAGGCCGGGGGCCACAATTAAAAACACAAATCAAATGGCGGGCCCCAACTTTATCAAAATTTTATGTAGAACTCTTCTATGTTTGAAGGAACATTAAATATTACTTTCAGATATTTATTAAGTTGTAAAAAACAAAAGTATTGAATTACAAATTAAATTAAGAAATAGATTTTTAAAAATATTTAATTGCATATTAAAAAATTCTGGCTATAATAATTTTAATGTGCACCTATGTATTAAACAATTAATGTGCAACAGATATAAAACTTTAAAAAAGTTGGTATTAAAACTTACATAGTAGCACACAAAATGTTCAATAACAAAATTGAGATTTGTCTGCTGCAATGAATATGTGTGTAAATATTTTCGTCCAAAATGACTGGTTTCAAAAGGTTAAATTGGAGAATTTCGCATACATGCTGATACACACATGCTAAATTATGTTCAGAAAATACCCAAAAAAAATTAAATTAAAAAGAGCAACATACACGATTATTTTTGTATTTGAATAAATATTTTCTTGGATGCAAAACCTGAGAAATAAATTTTTTTGCACCTTTGGTATGTTAAATTTAACAGAAACGAAGAAATTAGGTTTTTATTAGCGAGAAAAGTATTTTTAACCCATATAGATTTTTTACGAAAATTGTCCGCAAAAAAATGACAATTAATATATTGTAGTTTGCGGGCCACAAAAAAAGGCTTCATGGGCCAGATGCGGCCAGTTGGAAACCACTGGCCTAGAGAATTTATTGTTTCAAACTTTTTGGAGATGAGTTACGTGCTGGAAATGCAGTAATAAATCTTGTAGAATGAAGTTTTATAATTATTGATTCCTCTCTTTCATCGGATATAAAAATTATCAATTCTAATCATCAATTCAGTAATATCATAAAATATTCAAATGATAAATTGAAGGACTATTCACTAAAATACTCTAGAACAAAAAAAATTGCCTATTCACTCTACCTACATTTCAAAATGAAACCTAACTTTATTGTTTGATTAAGCAAGTCTTTGACTCAAATTTAAATTAAGTATGGATGGGTGGCCTAATGTAAACAATAACAAGCATCCTTAAACCGGAAGAAATTTAGAAAATTTCCGGTGTATCCCTCCGCTTATGTTATGACTACGAGGCGATGTGTGAACAAGCCTAATATTCTATGCAGTTTTGTTATTGTGATTTGGGTTCAAATCTAAACATAATTGTACCATTCATAAGAGCTTTCAGAAATGTATTGATTCTCAGAGGTCGTAAGGCCAAAAAAAATTTTGGTAAGTTAATATCTCATTGTGAATAATTCTTAAGGTTTGCCATGTTTTGTATTTTATTCCTTATTCGGCTACATTTGAATAAAATGTCGCCAAAAATATCTTTAAAAATATCTTTTTAAGTTAGCCTAATTAGAAAATATTCTAATGATTATAATATTAATATGATAATGCTTCAGTTTAAAGGCTGAAAGAAAGAACTCGGTACATGTGAAATAGTGCTAAAGATATGATGCAATAATATGATGGCTCGTTTTTTCAATCTGCGGCGTAAAAATATATCGGAAGCAGTAACCTAGAAGTCTTGCGAGAGCAATTTAACCACTAGCGCCACCACCCTTAGCTTTACACAATCACCCATCCATTGGTGTGTGAAAAAGTAAACTATTATTTGTTATTTATTTAATGCAACAATACTGTAAAAAAAAATTATATTTTCAGTTGTTCAATGCTCCATTAGTAAAATTATACTAGAAAAGATTAAAGAGTTGTTTAGTTTAGAAAGATTTTTATTGAAATATATTGCTGGCTTTAATTCTTTAATAATCAATGCATCAAAAAATTTTGTAACTAAAATTTTATCACTAATTTCTTTTTTATTTAAACTGTAAAGTTCTATTGTTTATTCATACCTAGTTGATTGCTTTTAAAAAGTTTTTATTATTATTATTATTATTATTTTGATTATAAAAGGGTACAAAAAGATTTTGAAGATAAGAAAAGCATTCTAGGAACTGAACCTGATGAGGATTTCATTTCTCAAATTAATGAACATGATTTTGTTCCTCACTATCAGAGAGTTGCTGTTAGCGGTGAAGATACTTCAGGGGTAATTATTTTGTTTTATATAATTTCATATATTAATATTTAAGTGTCTTAAATAATGCAAGACAAGGTAAATTACGAACATATTATGGCGCAAAAATTAACTAAATGACGATAGTGTGTATTTGATGATACATGTGAATTATTTGTTCTTTATTCGCATTGTCAGCTTCATTCAAAGGTTAGCACCCCTGTGGCAGAGTTTCTTCGGACTTTCTGCGACAAATCTCCCCAGCATTAATATTTTTCTGCAAGATACTTTTAATAATAAAAAATATATATGTTACTAATTTAAAGTAACAAAAGCGTCAACTTCAAAAGAAAAAAACCTTGGAAAAAATAATGTAATTTTTAAAATTTAATATGTAATATTTTTTATTCTATTATGAGCTATATTTTCGCATTTTGTAGGGAGAAAACACACTAATTATTTCCTTTTCTTTCTTTGTAAGTCATCATCAAATTTAAAAACAAATTAAAAATAGTGAAATCCATAGCAGTAACTAACGAAGAAAAGAAAAAAAAGATTGACGGCGAAATCACGCCAAATTGAACTCTTTATAAAAGGTTGTTACAAATTCATGTTTTCATTTCAAGATTCAGCTATTGTAATAAAAAAATATCAGATTAAAATATCGGATTTTAAAAACTATGTGGAAATCAATAGTAATAGCTGCCAAAAAAAAAAATATAACGTATATTTCTGCAGAAAAGAAAACCAAAAATTTTTACTTCATTATTCTCAAATGAAAATAGAAAAATTACAAGCCTTTTTTTTTTTCACTTTGATGTGCTAGAATGGTATATAATTTTGAATATAATTCTGAAGAGAAGATAGAAGCTTTCGAAAATTTCTGCAGAAAAGAAAACCAAAACTTTTTACTTTCCAAATGAAAAATCTTTCTGCAAGAACTTAGTAACATTCTGCGACAATGTTGCCGGGTCGCCACAATTCTGCCACAGGGGTTAGCACAAAGTATCTTCCTTTGGATTTAAATCTCTTAAAATTGAATTAAAATTGTTAACATTAAAAGGAAATTTCTGGATTTGATCTTTTTTTTAAATCTTTAGTTAAAAGTAGTTACTTTTTTATTCACTTTTGATATCAAGTAAATTTAGCTAGTAAAATTTAGTCATATTTATCTAGTAAAATTGATTTCATTGTCAAATTTATTTAAGTGGATATATTTTTTTTCTATTTCTTTATTATAATATAAATTTTAATATTACTTTCTTGTATTCTTCATTATTTAATTATGCATTTTTAAAAAAAAAAATTTTATAAAATTGATTTTATTGTCAGCTTAATTCTGTACTTATGTAATGTAATGTAATGTGAACAATTTATTATTACATTAGCTTTTTTTTAAAAGCAAAATGCATAAAAAATTAAAACTTTTTTATTAATTTGTATGTTTAAAATTTTTTTTTATTAAAGATTGATAATTTTTATATAAATTTTCCTGGTCTATTGTTTATGGGATATTTGAAATTAGTTGCAAAACTATCAATGTCTAATCTTTAGTTCTAAATTGACTGGAATCAAAGACATAATTTGAAAATCAAATCTAAAATTAATGCTTAAATTTGTAATTTGAGTGAAATCTTAAGAAAGTGAACCAAAGTCAGGTATTTCAATTATTTGATATGAGAAAAAATATTCCTCAGGTTGACATTTTTTAATATAATTGACAAAAAATGTATATTTATTTACATTTTTAAGCAGTATTAAAATTCTAATATCTTTCTTAGGTTCCGTTAGACGATCTTCGTCAAGCTGGACAATTGATACAGCAAGCTTTAAAGCTAAGACAACAATATATGATATATGCTAAGCAATCATTTCCCATTGTGACTAGTAAATTCTTGAAGCCACAAGCTGCTGATTTTATGCATACACCAACTGACTGTCCCTATGCAAAAGACATAGGTGGTAAAGTATTGTCTTCTTAAAATAATATTAGTTTTGTTTCTACATATTATCTAATTTTGTTAACTCAAAGAAGCTTTAAATTAATTTTAATCTCTATTTTATCATTAAAGTACCTATGCATTGTATATGTGAATTAATTTGATTACAAATGCTAGATAACTTAAATAATTTTTATTATTATCGTTTCTTCTTTCTTTTAATTTATAAATGATAGCTTTATAATTTATTACTGCTGTAAATCTCAGAAAATTGCAAGCGAACACTATTATTAACTTGTTTTATTAAAAATATTTCATTACTTGTTATGTGGCTAAAAAAATTAACTGGTTGGTTAAATTACATTTCAAGAAAGCGCAACTTAAAGTTTTTTTCAACTGTTTTTTTAACTATTTAATTTAAAATCTTCTATTATATTTTTTATTTTATCGGCATTGAATCAATTGTTCGTACTAGGAGCTTTGTGATTACTGTATTTTCCAGTGTATAAAGTCTACTTTTTAAGCCCCTAAAGGCTATGAAAGTTAAGTCTTGTAATAATTTTTCAAGACTCCAAGAATTTTTTTTTTCAAAAGTTCTTTAAATGACTCTTGATTTAAAAAGTTTATCTTACCTTATCTGTAAGATAAATACAAGCAGAAAAATATTAATGCAATTATTACACTACTGAAACTTTTATAAGAGAAGAAGAAAACTTTCTACATCATTAGGTATGTCTTTTGGTTACTTGCAATTTGAGTAACCTATTAAGATCTACTTTATAATTTGTGTTTGTTTTTCCACTTTAGAAGCATTATTGTTATTGGTCAAGTATTTGTTTCCTTTTCAAATTTGTGGTCAACTTATTCATAAAAATTCATTTTGAAATTATGAAGAAAATATTGACTTATACTATGCAAAATGTTGCGATATAATTTATTTCAAACCTTATGGTTGTCTCTTTATCCCATGATCTTTTATGGATCATTTTAGTTTATATTTGTCATAACTATGGAACATTTTTGTTTGCTATACAACATTTATTTATTTTGCTAAATTTCTTTATTTTAAATATCTCGTTCGGTAAAGGATCTAAGTGCATTTAGCAGGGTTGCCACATGTGACTAAAATGCGACTATTTGCAACTTTTTTCCACCTGAGGCAACTATGGTAACTTTTTTTTGCCTGAAAAGGCTAAAGAAAGCAACTATTTTCAGGAAAAGGAGACTATTGGAGGACTTTTCTGTTCTCCTAGCAATGTTTTTTTAGCATAAATTGGGTTGACAACCTGCAGCCAGCAAATAATTTTTTTTTTTTAAAAAAAATAAGAAAATATTGAATTGCAAATTTGAGTCATCACTTTTTAATGCTCTCAATTTGCACAGATTCTATTGTAAATCTATTTTGTTTCTCAATCGCCTTTTCAACAGTTATTACTACGAAACTCTGCATGATTTTAAAGAACCCAATTTTTAATACGATATTATGATGCGTGAATATCGAATTTTAGTAATCACTTTTCAAAATATCTATATATATATTTGCTAAACCAATTATTCATAAAAAGGAAAAAATTTTAGAAAGAGTATGTTTTTTTTTAACAAACAATTATTTTTCTGAATTCTAGCATTTAAAAGTATTTAATTTTCTGCAAATATACTGATTTTTTTAAATGAAAATTTATTGCTAGAACACTAACGTTTATTTAAAAATTATCATATTGGCTATCAACTTGACTAAATGGATCATGGTATATTACAATGAAGTCATTTAATAAAATTTTAGTCATATTATTGAAAAATTTTTGTTCTTATTTAGGCAACTATTTTCATAATTTTTGGCAACTATTTTCATGCTTTAGGCTACTAGAAGCAACTATTTTGTTCATTTTTTTCTGTAGCAACCATAATTTAGCAATACTGTTGATGAATACTTAATGAAAACCTGTCATTTAGCAGCAAATTAAAATGGATGTGAATGCCATGACACAAACAGTTAAAATGAATGTTGAAGTTTTATAAATTTTGCAATTAGAAACTTGCAAGCTAGAAATAAAGTCGAGACATTGTCATTTCCTACTGTGAACGATCTTACTTACTTTAAAGGTTGTTTGCTTAAATTCACTAAAATTTCCTTGAAATCATTGGTCCACTCAGCTCTTTAATTTTGATATGCCTTTTTTGGAACTGGAATAGTTTTTTTTTCTTCTTAACTATCACTTTGCCATCTTTACATCTTTTGGCAAACATAATAGAACATAGCATTACATATTTTAACTGATCATTGCTGTATACCTAGTAAGTAAAAAGGGGTCAGTCTGGTCCTTCCAAGATTGTTTGTGATGATCTCTTAGAAATCCAAAGTCTTAAAATATAATCATAATCAATTTAATAAAAAATATATTATACTCTCTCATAAAAATTCTATGGTATTTTTTTCAATTTGATTAATGAAAACACTTGATTAAATGGAACACTGTCTTTTCAACTATACATAAATATTATTCTCTTAGATAATTGTATATCATTTTCTCTATAAATAATAATAGAATATATGGTAAAGTAGTGTTGTTTTTTTAAATATATATATGTATATAAAACTTGGGTACCTTATACCTACTAAAGTGTACATTACGCATAAACCTACAAGGGGTTATGGATGACCTACCAAAATATAGAGGCCAGCCACTCTGGTCCCTCATATAGTTCTAAATATAAGGTTCTATATATATACATGTGAATAGCTAAATAGGCATTGAAATTAGAACAAATTATGAAAAGTCAGCCAAAATGGCCTGAACCATTTTTCTAGTTTTAAAGAAAGGTTAAGGTTTAATGTTATGTTTTATAAGGAAAACATTTTTTTTAATCCCATCAGGCTTTTGTGTAACCAATTTTTTTTAGTTTCACCTTCTCATTCATACTTCTCAAAAGTTTTATAATAATTTTTGCTCAAGATTTGTTTAGATTCTGCTGTTATTTTTAATTTTTGGAAGTATTTTTTTTTCTTTTTGTCAAAAGATATTTATTCTATTTGTATGATTATATTTAGAAAATGTTGATCCCTGGAAAAAAGAATTTCCTCCTGATTTAAATTATGTATTGAACATGGAGGAAGGTGTTGTTCAAGTGTATAGAACAAAAGAAGATGTGGAAGATGGAAGGAGACTTGATTATCCATTCCCATCTCTTCAAACATTTGTGACTGATATGACACTTCTCTGTGCCATGATCACTGATGGCCCTTTGTAAGTAGTGCCTTATTTTAGTTGAATTGAGATAGATTTTTTTTAAACTTGTTATTTTAGATAAGAAGAGAACTATCTCTTGAAAATGATTAGGTTATTATTTTGCAATCAGGATGCCTAACCATTTTCAAGAAATGGGCCACAAAAACTGCAAAATGAAATGTTGAGGGCCGACATTAACATAATGCTGCAATAAAAATGCAGGGAATATTTAGATTCTTTTTTAAACTAATGTGAATGAATTACAAATGTATAATAAATCTTTTTCTCTTGTGATGAAAATAAATTTATGTAAATAAATTTAAAGAAATACACTTAATAGATTACCAAGCCAATTATGGTAAATTTATATGCATACAATAAAAAATCCAACTTAAATTTAACTCAAAAAGTTAACTCACACTAATATTCAGAACACAAAATTTGCTACTTATATAGTATCAGAATAATGTAATGACTGTTGCTAGATTTAATTAGATAGATTTAATTAATATAGGTTTTAATTAATAGTTTGATTATAGATCATTCAGAAATTATAGTGGAGGAGAATCTTTTAATTCTCCTAGTCAAATAATAATACTGAAATGATGTCCTATGTTTTAGGAAAAAAACTGTCCTTTAAATATTATGCTGGACGTTAATTGGCTAAAGAATGAATCTGCGTATTTTATGTATACTATCCTCATTGCAAGCTATAAAGATAAGAGCCAGTTAAACAATCAATCTTTAACAGTCTTTAAAAATGCTATGAGTTTTACTGTAGCATTCCAACTATCAATTTTTTTATTCTAATTAATAACAGGTGGAAAAAAGCAACATTTACTTTATTAAACATTAATGAAGTCTACATACCATTAAATAATATGAAGAATACACTTCTTTTAAAGAAAATATCTCTGATATTTAATTTTAACAATATCATGTGCTTGTTATTCTGCAAAATAAATAAATATTTTAAACAAATAAGTAAATCTAAGTTCTATTGGTTAAAGTTTTGATAAGCCAATGTATTTTTATCACTGTTTTGAGTAATCAAAACTTTATACTTACTTAAAAATAATACCTCATCTTTTCCTATTTTCTTTGTGATTTTAGTCAAACCAAAGTATTTATACATTTTGTTGGCTTTATGATTATGCATTAATTTTGCTATCTTTTGAACCTGATGATAGATAATTCCTAAATGGATAATACCTGGGAAAAGTTATGACAGTTGATGTGGAATTTTCAATTTTAGTCTTTTGATCTGTCAGAAAATTCTAATTGCTCATTTTTATTTATTTATAGGAAATCATTTTGCTACAGACGCTTAAGTTATTTGAATTTAAAATACCAGCTTCATGTTCTCCTTAATGAGATGACTGAACTTACAGCACAGAAATCAGTTCCTCACAGAGATTTCTATAACATTCGAAAAGTATTTATTTTTATTTTATCTTTTATTTAATATATATATATATATATATATATTAATCTCTTGCATATTTTCAGCAGTCTTTGGAAATAAAGTCTTTTAGCACACATACACATTCTAATGAGATATTTTAAAAGTAAAAAAAATAAAAACGTACGTTACACTTAAATTAAATAGCGGTAAAAATATATTTCGTATGAAATAAATTTTATCAGTAATAATTATAAAAATATTTGAAAAATCTCTCAAAATTTACGTAAACATTTACGCTTGAAAAGAATCAGAATATAAACGTCGAGCTTAAAACATATTGAAGTTGTTAGCTGCTATGAAACGAGATTTTCTCTATATGAAAAAGTTATAGAGCCTCTTCCATCTCTGTTTTAGTTAAGAAACAAAGTAACAAAGAATGTTTGTTGAAAATTGTGCAGGGATTACCTTGAAATGGAAGAATTTATAATTAGTCCGAAATTGCGAAAAGTACCATGCATGTTTCTCTGCAATCCTCGGGAATGCAACTTTAAACCTACAAATTTGAAATTTGTTGTTCTGTAAGAATCATTTTTGTTTATTAACTTAACACAAGCCTTTTTTTTTAATTTTAAGTTGCTTTAAATGCTTGTTTTTTTTTAAATCTTTTTATGTTACATGTTGTTTTCTTGCGCAAAAACTATACGACTTAGAAAATTGACAGTACGAAAAGTGTAAAAAATGTTGGAGTACGATGCAATAAGAGAGAATTCGGTTGTTAGTTTAAGAATTATCGACTCTTACATTTAAATTTGTAGAATCGGACGCAAATACAGAGTTAAAATTTGACGTGTTGTAAGATTTAATTTCATTTATAAATTCATTTCAATTGTTTTTATAGTTCTAAATTGTTTAAAAGTTATTGCAATTCTTAGAGATTTGTTAAAGATTTTTTTTTGTTGCTTTAAATCAGGGGTATCAAACTCGCGGTCCGCGGGCCATGTGCAGCCCGAGATGAACATTTTTGCGGCCCACTCAATATATCCGTCGCAAAATGAAAATAAAATGGAAATGTGAATTAGAAAGAAAGCTAGCATATGAAATTATAATATACTTTATTTATAAACTATACGAATCATTTTAAATTGTATGAGCGAAAATGTAAAATTATAATTGGTTTGCGGCACCTGCCATTCCATCGTATCAAAAATACGCAGAAAAAATTTCAAATCTTAAAGCAGAATTTGAAATAACGTTTAAAAATTTTAATTCTTTGGAAGACAAATTTTGTTTGTTTTCTTCGATTTTCTCAATAAATATAGACTCAGTACCCAGTTATATGCAAATCGAAGTGGTAGAGATGCAGTGCGACTCAAATTTGAAGGCAAAATTCATTGAAGTGGGTGTGCCTGAATTTTACAAATATTTACCGGCAAGGTTTGAAAATTCGCATATGAAATTATTTCCATGTTTGGAAGTATTTATCAGTGCAAGCAATTATTTTCTGTTATGAATGGAAATAAATCTCCTGTCCGAAA